AGCTAATTGAAGAGCTCCCACTAAGGATCTAAAGGTTTCGCATACAAATGATGCAGTTTAACATTACAGTGCAGAGCGCTCTCTCGAGGCCCTGGAGAATCTTCTCCCGAGAAAGAAAATGACCCAGAAACTGAATCAGATTTCTTGGTTAACGCTGTCATGGTAACGTTATCAGCCTCTGACCAGCGTCTGAACGAGATAAGGTGCAAGTTAAAGAAAGATAACACCTTGAAAGTTGTTATGCAGTTTGTCCAGGAAGGATGGCCTCCTGACAAGCGTAAACTGGAATGAGAGAGGTGACCTAAACATCCACAGCGACTTGCTCCTCCTCAGAAGAAGATTAGTCATTCCAGAAACCCTCAGACAGAACGTCATTACATATCTACACGATACCCACCAAAGTATTACAAAGACACTTGAAAACTCAGCTTCTTCCGTCTGGTGGCCTGGACTTTCACGTGACATCGAGAAGATGGTGCAGGACTGCGACATGTGCTCTAATCTTCGAACAGAAAAGATCGAGCGAATGAGGGGTACATCTTATCCCAATAGACAATGGGGAAAAGTTGCAGCAGACTCATCCTTCCATAAAGGTCACAATTACCCGCCTGTGGTAGATTACTATTCACTTGACGTTGAAATATGTCTTGTATCTAGAAGTGTCAATACTGCTGAGACCATCCTGCGAATGAAGAAAGTGTTCAGTTTGCAGAGTTTGCAGTTTGCATCTCTATGGGGGTTCGAACAGGTTACATCGTCCCCACTGTATGCACAGTCCAATGGCGAAGTCGAGCATGCAGTACAGACCATGAAGGCAAACCTTGACAAGTGCGACGATGACCACTTCCAAAAGGGTATCCTCCCGCACCACTGAGCATGGGTCGCAAACTAAAAACTCGAGTACCTGCCATCCAGATGAACTACTTCCTAAAATGCCGGACTATGATGAGTTGTGCAGAAGAGAAAAGAAGTGCAGGGAGAAGATGGCACAAGATTATCGGTATGACCACAGACTCAAAGTTGTATTAGGCGAACAGCTCTCATCAGTAGACCGTGTCTGCATACCAGATCTGCACATAGAGGGCTCTGTAGTAAAATGTCATGAGATGCCAAGGTCAGTTGTAATCGACACGTCTAAAAGTAATGTCCGGAGAAACCGTCGCATGACGCGGAAACTAGAGTCCCAAATTAATGACCAGCCGGATGGAGAGTAACACACCCAAAGCGTACCAGAAGTAGTTATACCCGACATCCCGACAGAGGAAAAACCTTCACAAATGCCCTAGCAACCTGTTCCCGACAGACCTTTGGAAATTCAAGAACCACGTCGCTCGGGAAGACTACGTAGACCGCCTAGAATATATTTAGAAGAGTGCTGCATGCTGATCACGAACAAAGTGTCATTTGGGTGCCAGTCCTAGAACACTGAACATTTAGCATAGAACGCGTTCATTTGCAAAACGTTTGTTGTTATTTGACTTTCATTTTAGACTCTTTAAGTCTGGACAGTCAGAACGTAAAAAAAGGGAGATGTAGTATGAGCGCATGCGGGTAATGGACGCATACGCAAGGGGCGACGACAATCTTATTGCGGCCATTTTCCTAAGCACTTTCACTATTACGCTCTTGTACAACAGGCCAACACTAGAGCGGTACCCAAGTCTTAGAACACCGAGAACCAATGGAATGGGGAAGGGGGAGGCGGAGGGTTATGTTTGAATATGTAGATTTTCTTCATTTTGATTTCAGAGCAATTTAAGGCACTATTATAACGACAAAGAGTACAGTGTAAGCAGTGTTTAAAAACAGACAAGCTTGAAAGACAAACTCAAAGCAACGAGCACACATACACTAACCCACGGCCTGGCAAGTACCTCACGCATGCGTACAGCCTTATCACCGGGGCAGTGGCAGCCATGGACAGCTGTTTCGCCCTTATCACTGGCACTCAGATCGGGGTAACTCCTGATACGCCTTCCCCTCGCATGCTGTGGGAGAACTGCCGTGCCGGTTCCCTGCCAACAGCTCCCACATGTTTTGTGTGGAGCTGGCGCTTAAAGGAGTGCTTTCCACACGCCTAGGTGGTAAAGGGAATCTGAAAACGGATTTGTCCGTACAGAGATCCGTCTGCTAAACCATGCTGGTAAGCCCGCATGGCGCTCATTGCGAGATCAGAGAATCGTTCTTGAGACATTGTTGACCTAGGGCAGGTCTTGATTCGTTTCATCATTGAACACGATCACTCAGCTTCTGGGCTTGTGAACGGTAGGCTGCAGGCAATGACCTGAAGGCGATGGATGTTTGGGAAGAAGCATCTTCGTCGCACGTACGAAGTGCTAGTAAAAGGTTGTTTGGAAGCTCCCTATCTGTTGACTGCCAGAGTGTTTTCCATCTAAGTACCTCGTTTCTAAAGGACAAACCAAACTTAGCAACAGACGATCTTAACTTAATTTAGGTCGACTCTAATTAGAGTTTGGTTCCTCTCATAAAAGGTTCGACTTCTGGCCTGTCTACTCTCACGGAGACAAGCATATCAATTGACATCATTAGATGGATGTGTTTGAAAACTGATACTGGTGTTTTGGTTGGCGTCACTTTGCTAGCATCATAGAGATGTAATACTCTAACGCGAAGCGTTTTGAGCTGAATATTGCTCAATATTTTGAGAAAAAAAATGAAAACTTTTAAGATAGTTACGTCAACAAATTAGTTTTTCATCCTTCCCGTGTTTCCACGTACTGGTGAATGAAACCCGAGCAAAAAAAAAAAACAAGAAATCGACTAAGATGTTTTATCGCGGTGGAAGTATCAAGAGCAGACAATAACGACGATTGACGTATCTTCGAATGCGCGCGCTTGAATAGTTACCTTGAACAAGTAACCACAGCAACAAAAAAGCAAAACAAATAAAAGATTTTCTTTCAACTGGTCTGAGCCATTAACAGAATATTGTACGATAAATTTTTATTTTCCCTCAGATGAACTGACCCAGCCCTATTATTTTAGGCGCAGTCATTCTATAATTAAATTGAAAGGGCAAAATAAAATTACTTTCTGAAAAGTAACCCTTTTGCGCATGCCTTTTGTTTGTGACACTAGATTACACCACTGATCAGGAAAAAATAACGTGAAGATTCTTAATCTAAAAATAAAAAGAGCTTTACCTTCCTTCTTGGTATTTTCTGAAGCAGTCGAAGTTCCTAACACCGTCAGTAACAAACCATTGTAGATGAAAAGCGTCTTCATCTTGTCAAACATGACTTTTTACTCTCCTCAACGGGACGAGGCTGAACTCGTTTCTCAACGTGGATCGAATGAAAAATAGACGTCATAAAGGACAAAATAGCACACTTTTACGTGCGCGTTCAGTTATCGAAAACACTTCGTAACCTTCCTATTATGTACTTTGACTCTGATTTCTAATGTTTATTTATTTGTTAAAAAAAAATTAAATAGGTGGAATATACCATATATATTAGAAAAAACGCGTTCCAGAAAAATAGACCCTTTTCAAGGACGAAGTAGATTTGTTGAAGACTGTGAGACAAAAAACCTTTTATATCAATTTTAAGAGAGGAAATAACAAATAACGGTACATGAGACACATAAATGTTGCGCATTAATAAAAGCATAAATTTTGCTTGTAACTGGAAATGCTTTATTGTCAAACAAACTGACAACGATAGAATGACTGGACAATTTGACTGATCATAAACGACCGCTGTAATAACAGTGACAAAAAACGGATCGAATCGCACCAATCACATTTTCCCTTCAAAGACAAAAACATCACGGCTTAGCTAACAGACGACCAAAAAACATCGCGACTTATTGACCAATCACGTCAAAAACCAGAGTTTAATACCACGATCGATCAACCGACGTGATATATCGGTAACCCAGAATGATTCTGAAGATGACTTCCGCACAGGTTGTCGACAATAGTCCTATTCAGCGCTACGCTCACCTGGACGATCATATTCCACTTACATTTAAAAGAAATAATTTGTTGGGCAATAATCTTGTTTTAACAGAATTCTTCCCAAGCGAACCTGTCCCGGCTGGCTTTGAATTGAACCTTTGCTGTTGAAATGCTTACAATCCTTCACTATTGAACTCGCAAATCTCCTTTCCCATTATGGTACGTAACCGAGGTAACATAGCTCTAACTTTTGACAGAGTGGTACATGTAAGATGAAGCTTGCCCCTGCGCAGTGACAACCAAAACTTGCAGGCGCAGAAGAGTTGGAATTGACAACACTCTCAGCTATAAAGAAATTCCCGTTTCAATACCGTAAAAATTTGCGAGGAAGAACCTGCATTTTCCCAACTTTCCGTAAACAGGTTCTTACATTAACGGTAATTAGCACAAATTTAGGCTATTTAGGTTCTCAAATCCTAGGTTATTATTTTCTGCAGAAGATAACACATTGTAGCTAAGAGTATGTAGTAGTATTCAGCTTATTCCTCATATAAAATCTTCATACCAAAACATGGTAGTTGGAGTGACACCTATTACTCCAAAGAGGATCCTGAATGCTGACTTATCTTATTTGCCGAAGTGTACAGAATATTTTTATCAATTTAAGAAACTCACTTTGTCTCTTAAGATGACTACCACACAGGTTGTCGAAACGTCAGTCACTGTCAACAACAGTCCTATTTAGAACTACGTTGACCCGGACGATCATACTCAACCTACTTATGAAATGACGCCTGGGTTCAAACCTTTCACAGTTTAAGAAAGTAAGAGCCTGTTTCAAATTTTAAGCTAAACAGCTTGGTGTACAGAGAGGGCCTAACTGCCAAATTTTAGCCTGACAGGTTCTTACTTCTTACGCGTTAACATGATTTCATTAAAACGGAGTTCGTTCGATCAAAGAGGAGAACCTTTAGGAAAAAGGATCGCATGGCCGGCAGAAACTTCAAAACTTCGTTAAAACGTATTTGTGGTGCATATCTTTATTTCACATTGCTTATTTTCTAATAATGATACAGGTTGGGTCAAAATGTTCGGTGTATTTCCATGTCCAGGGAAGTGGTAGAACTTGAGAGCGATCAACAGTACAGAAAAAACCGTAAAAACAACCAGTGATTTTTTTTCAGGGTGATGCGTTTTTTATTAGAGAGATTTAGAGTCGCGTTTACGGCAAACGTCAGATCCATGTTGAGAAATTCTCAAAAGAGAAAATGAGCAGATAAAAAAGCTTAAAACTATTCTTATGGACAAAACGGGGGTAAATCTATCGATTTCCGTGTAGTTGCAAGGTACAGTAAACGACAAGTTAAGTGAAAACTTGACCACGTGGTACGAATTCACGTTTGCCGTAAACGTCACTGTAAAGTTAAGCGAAAACTTGGTCACGTGGTACAAATATACGTTTGCCTTTTGCCGTAATATAGAACTTGTATCACCGATAGACACAGGGGGTAGGTACTATCTTAGATCAAATAACGGCAAACTTCTTAACATTCCACCATGCAAGTCTCTTTCCACGCTTGGTGATCGATCTTTTTATGTGGCTGCCCCTAAATTATGGAACGATCTTCCCCTTTTTATTAGAAATATATCTTCAGTTAATGCTTTCAAGAAGGCTCTTAAAACTCATTTATTTCAGAAGGCGTTTCCCAGCTAATTTATTGTTTTTATTGTAAATTTTTTTTTTTTTTTTGGAATATGTACTAGGATTTTAGGATTTTGTTGAGTCAATGTTATGCGCAGATGAAAATTTCTTTCCCTGGATTGATATTTGCGCAATACAAATCAATAAAATTATTATTATTAATTATTAATTATGTCACTCCAAATCTCTCTATATGTATTAAATAGGTTGCGTAGTGAGAAGTCAGCCCGGAAAATGTTAAAGAGGTTCTCGGAAACTGTCTCAAATGTTAAACAGCTTTACCAAACGTTAGCTTTAATAAGTGAATTCACAATGTACAATCCAGTCCCTTCTGCAGGGTGGGTATGGAGATTTTCTGAAACTGCACATTGTGTGTTTGTCTAGCACACTACCAGGATCCTTCCAAGTTTTGAGTTGTCTAATATTCGGTAGTTCTTCTTATAAGAACCTGCTTCATTTGTCTGCCTGAATTATGATTCTCATCAGACAAATTTTAGCCGAAGGTTCTTAACCTGCTGCTTACTGCTTCAAGTATAGATCTTGTACAGTGGCAATTGTGAGAAGAGTAATGGGTTCCACCCAATGAATTGTATCATGTACTAACACTACTAGTAAGCAATATCTGTGGGTTTACTTTGGCACTCTTTTAAGAGAACTTTCATGAGAACTTCAAAAGCAATAAATAAATATTGAGAGGAACGCTTGGATGAGTCTATTATTTTACAAAACTAGGAAAGTGTTGTTGACGCCTGTACAAAAGTCGCAGATCGTATGTAAACCGTGGGAGTACCACGACAAGAAGCAACAATACGGTCATGCCCTGGAAAATCTTCTATTTACAACATGTCAATGGATGATTTGTCATTTCGAACAGTTAGCGAAGTTCAGGTTCCCCAGTCTAGTGCTTTGACGAATTCTTCCTCTGAAAATTGAAGTAGCTTGGCAGCTTCGATGTGCATCTAGGAGAAAACAACAAGATATACCAACAGTTGATGAGAACAGGGGTCATTTAAAAAAACTTTTACGAGTATAATTTACAAGTCTAGCTATATTGTTTTCAGACCTTAAACAATGACTACACTTGCAAATTACAAGTGTAAAAGTTTTATTAAACTGACCCCAGGTTGGAATTTCAGTTTTACGGTAGCCGGTTTATCAAAGCTTGGATAAACCAACTCCCCGGCGGAGGCTATAATGTACGATGGAGGTCAGAAGTGTTAAGGACTTCCCAGTGATATCAGTACAACTGGCGACCTACCCTCTCCACCCTAGACAATGTTGAATTTTGATCAAAATGGCTGGAAATGAGTCTTCTTGGGGTCAAAACATTATCGTGCAGGGGAGTGGGGGTATGAAGGGATGAACGCAAAGCCGATCGAAACATTGTTACTAGCAGCAGAGTCCTATGTTACAGTTACTTGGATGGGTTTTTCCACCGAGTCCCAAATTCTTTTGAGCTACATTGTACGTTTTTTGAAGAAATGCTCACAAAGAATTTGCTTTTCTCGTGTTACATGTAGGTGGCAACTCCAAAATACCGTGTACTACCCAGGAGGAACAGATCAAAGCCAGGACAGTCTCGCTGGCGAGAATGGCAGTTAAGAGTGTCCTGACGCAAACCAGTGGTTCCAGTCGTTTGCTTCCATAAAAGAACGGATATCAATTTACCTCCCTTATGGCTAAATTACGGAGAAGCCATAGATGTGTATACATATATACAGGCGCAGTTTGGTGGCACTTCAGTTTTTGTACTCATCTCACCCCAAACTATCAAGAACATTGGTGGAGCATGATTTCAGGGTCTACGCCCACTGCTCTTTTTAATCAATAGCATGGGTTCCTTTACGTCCTCTTATGATTTACGGCGAAGCTAGCCGGAGAAAACAGCAGACGTTTCGCGACGTTACCACTGGTTTCCTTGCCAAATAAAGTCTGAGGAAAGCGCTAAAAAATTCCATACTGATGACGCCTCACTACCCAGATCTGCCTAGTGCTTCTGATTGGTTGAAGCAAATACCCTACGCGGGACGGCCAATCTGAAGCACCACCCAGATCTGGGTAGTGACACGTCATCAGTATGGAATTTTTGCGCTCGTTTCTCAGACGTCATTTCGCGGGGAGAACGGTGGTGGCGTCCCGAAATGTCGGCTGTTTTCTCAAGTTAGGGCGAAGGAAACCAGCGACGTGATTGCTCACACCAACAATACTCGTGAGGACTTGATAAATGTCTCACTGTTGATTAGCAGCGGAGAGAAAAGAAAGTTAAAAGTTACCTTTTGTCTTTTCAGAACGTCAATAAGCTTCATTTGTTTCTTGAAACCAGCCATTAGTTCGTTTTTCTGTTTCTCGAGGCGTTTGTTTTCCGCCAGCAGTTGTTCAATGCGCTTTCTGTCCTGTTCACCAGAGTCCTGGGAACGAAATAACAAGTACAACAAAAAGCTTCAAGTTTTGAAAAAGACATTCAGGAACAGTGCAAAACCTTTCTGGTGCAAATGAGTTTTATTTGCGTGAGAATAGAAAAAATCACTTTCATATCAATGGCTTGAGGCAAGTCGGAGATGATCTATTAATGGTCAACGAGCGCAGAAATTCCATACTGACGACGCGTCACCCAGTACCCAGATTTGCGTAGTGCAAATTTCCCACGCGGCATGACCAATCAGGAGCACTACCCAGATCTGGGTAGTCATCAGTATGGCTAAATGCAAAACCTTTCTTCTGCAAATGAGTTTTATTTGCAAGAGTATAAAAAATCATTTTCATATCAATGGCTTGAGGCAAGTCGGAAATAATGACCTATTTATGGATCAAATAGCAGCAAACGTCACTAATGAAGGGATTCGGATGGGTTCTGAAAGCTCTGAGTAACTTTCAAGAAATTGTTGGTGGTGAATAATATTTCTCTGTAAAACCGTGTTATCATCTCCGGCAACTTCCCTGGTTTATCCTACTAAATCAGTGGCCTGGTCGGGCACATGCCATTTGTACAAGAGGAATAATAAGTACGGCTGTGTCTCTTCTTACTTTAGACTGACTTTTGGTCTTCTGAAGAGCAGTTTTGTACTTCTCGACTTCTTCCAGAGCCCGGTTCAACCTACAACATAAACAATGGAGAAAAGGAGTTGTTTTCGGTATGTTAATAGTCTCCATCTGAATCGTCAACAGCCCGTATCTCATCTGCCTTTAGTAGTATCGGGCGCTCCGAATTAACCTTTTTAAGGAGGAATCGCAATAGAGAATTAGAGTCACGTTAACGGCAAATGTCAAACATCAGATTCAAGTTAAGAATTTTCAAAATAGAGGACAAGCAGACAGAAACAGCGCAAAACAATTTTTAAGGATAAAACTGGCGTGAATCTACTGATTTCCGTGTAGCAATAGGGAACAGTAAATGGCAAGTAAATGGTTAACTTGGTCACGTGGTACAAATTCACGTTTTTGCCATTTGCCGTAAACCTGACTCTAATTTCCCTATTACTTTCCATCTGGAGCAATACATGAACGCCATGACATCATAGTCTTAGTCCGGTGGAATTACAGTAGCCTCATGAAAATAACATCTTGCGCTATTTCAAGGTGGTTCAACCGGTTTGACACTTTTCTAGTTATTTCCAGGTCAATGAAAGCCTTTTGATTGGTTAACAAGAAACTAAGAATAATATTCATTGGTTTGATTTAAACTGTGGAAGGAATAAGCGTTAACTCGTACAATACACCTACCTGACTTCTGTGACATTTTTGTTAGACGCAGCTTGCTTTTGATCTCTCTGAACAGAGTCAAGATCCTGCATTGATAGTAAAGTAAACGATTAATTGATAATCCGTTAAAACACGCAAAGGTTAAATGAAAGCACCTAGCGAACTATTCGAGTGGCTACCACCCATTCAATTCAGACGAAGACCTTGGGTCTTGTTTAATTTGTTGACGGTCATACAGTAGCCTAGTCTGCTACACAGAGTACCCTGGGTACCAGAGGGTTTCTCTCGCTGCGACGAGGAGCTTCGTCGGCCGCAGGCCGACACGTCTTCGGCCAAAACCGGAACCGCGCATAAAAAGCCTCTGGCACCCAGGGTAGCTATACAGGTGTGAACATAAAAATAGGCCAAAACGCGTTAAACAGTCACTTCCTGAAATGCAAAAGCAAGTATTTGTTGTTGACTTGAGTATCCGAGCAAGAAGAGAGAGAGTTGTGCTGAGACAGCAGACTGTGGCTTATGGCGGCAACAAGAAATATACAGCTACCAAGCTAATGGGCTTACCTTCCTCAAAGCTACCAGTTGTTGTTCCAGTCCTTCATTCTTGTGTTTGCACTCATCGTATAGTTTCTTATATTTGTCAATCTGAGCCTAAAAACACAAAGGAAAGCTTCAGAAGTAGGGCTACTAGTTTCAAAGTCCTCAACCCTTTAAACCCTAAGATCAAAATTTGAATTCTCATTTGTTGCCTCTATTCATTTCCTACAGAAGTAATGGGAAGAAGTTGATAAAATATCAAGCAAATTCATCTTGTGTGACCATGTCCGTAATTCTCATTACCACTCTGTTTGATAGAGCACTGATATTACAAGGAGAAATTTGATGCTGATCACTCTTAAGGCTTAAAGGGTTAATACACCTACCGTTCTAACCCAGCAGACTGCTCCAATAGAGACTTGGGGCTTTACTTTTAACTTTATCAAACCATTACAGTAACAAACATTGCGGCACTGACCTGCAATCCCTGGTTATTTTTTTGTAATCTACCCTGTTCCTCCGTCAGTTCCTTTACTTTCTTTTGAACTGATGTAGTTTTCTCATCCTATAGGAAGAAGCAATAGAAGATTTATCACTGTGAAACGCGTTTCTTAATTACAAAAATATAGAAAAAAATTCCTGTCAACTAGACTCCTTCGTGGCCCTCAAACATTAACAAGTGAAATTATTAGTCTGAAAATGTTTAAATGAACATTTTTTACTAATAAAATACTTTCAGTATTATACCTTTTTGTTGCACTCAGCTACAACTCTGTCTAGTTCCTCCTGCATAACCCTCAGTTTTGCCTTAAGAAACCTAATAGTTGCTTCTAAATAAATAAGCAATAAAACAATCATGGTGATTAAGCGTTTAAAAACACTTAACCTCAGGGGCTAAACGTGAGACAGGCAAAGAGAGAAAAAAGTTTTTCTCTCCTCCTCTAATTCTCCAATCAATGAGATCAATGCTCATCTCTCAAATTTTACCTCAGCTTAATAATTCCAGGTTTAATAGGTAAGCTATAGATAACTAAACAACTTTAATTCACTTTTTTTTCTTCATTGACCCCTTAAAATACCCAAGTGGGTCAGTCATTAGGTCCATATCTTCAAGAAAGACCCCTCTAGATTCACTTAAATTGCAGTTTTTCTTACTCTTTCCATAACTCAAACTGTGAAATTGCCACCCAGTTATAAACCTCTTAATTCCTAGGAAAGCCACCCAGAACTCAAACATGCCCTCATGATTTCTGAAAGTTGCTTAAGCAGGCCTGTCTTGGACATGTATTACAAACCTGATCCCATGTCTTCAGCCCCAACAGGTAACACATTGTCATCAACAGTAGTTGTGTAACTGTCATCTCGTGCATCATCCTCCAGAGTGCTGATTGTATTTGCCAGGGTAATCCTGTCGTGAAGCATGTCCATTGCGGCATGATCGGAAGGGATGGGTGTGTTTGCTACACTCCCAGGAGCTGATGCTGTCTTGGATTTAGGCCTTAAAGAATGTTTACTTCACAAATTAAACTTACATGTACTTAAAAGGGAAGAGAAGTGATGATCTCACGAAAACTCCATTTGTGAAATTATGGGATAGGTTGGCAATCCAGAAGATGAATATGAAAAATGTTCACTTTCCGAAAATCAGCCTGATAGGGCAAATTGACGGGGAGATATAAGCATTGTTATGCTCCAGTGAACCTCTATAAATCCTTCTAAAATAGGCCACGTCCAAGCCAATTAACTTTGCGAAGGATTGTAGGGAGTCATCAGAGCATAACGGTGCTCATATCTCCCCGCCAATTTGCACTAAAAGGCTGATTTTTGGCAAGGGGAATATGCCATCCAATCCCATAATTTCACAAATTTGAATTTTTGTGATCTCACACTTCACGCTAGGAAACAAAGGAAATTCTAAATCAAACTAGGTTAAATACTGATTTAACTTGAGATCGATTTTACCTACAACAGATACAATTCCCACTTTTTATTACAGATACCCTCTCCTCCATCTTTTAAAGTGCATATTACCCCAAATTTGAAAACAATTTGATGAATTCTATGCGCTTTCAGCTTCAATTTGCTTCAATCGGATAAAATTAGTGGACTCCATGCTCGGTTAAAGAGAACAAAATTTGCCTATAGTATTTGAACAGTATTTGGTCAGAAGGCTGCTTAGATATATGGTTCCCTGGGTCGAGTGAAACAATGACGTATTTTGACACATTGTTCTTAGCTCTGCCTCACTTTGTTGTAGCTTCTCCCTTAACCCCTCTTCCATTGCTCTTTTCCTATTGTACTCTTGGATAAACTGTTGACTTCACTCGCCAAAGGCTAGTGTGCATAAGGAATAACAATATCTTCATGTTCAGCCTCCCCGCTCACTTGTGTATTTTATCTATTACGGCGATGTTTCAATTGATACTTTCAAGTGCAAATGTTGTCTTATCAGAAAAAATTATAATAACAATAATAATAGCCTTCCCATAGACCCTGCTCATAGAGACTATTGCCCCTTTGGTATTTGATAGCAACTATTAGTTTATGGCTACTACCATTCAATGATTATTTTTAAAAAACTGTTTAATTTGTAGGAAGATATGTGAAGTTGTGCGGTAAGTGATGAGTTGTGCATGTACACTATGGTCTAAAAGTTCTGAAATTTTAATATTGCATCATTATATTAATTTTATCCACCTTGTCCTCTTCGCTCTTGAAGTTGGCCGTGATCCTTGTTTTCCTGTTGTGCCACTCGAAGGTCTTACACTGACTCCTGATTTCTAAAATAATTAAAAAAGGAAATGCAGATTTGAAAATGTCACAGTTCACATTCAGATCTAAGAGGAAATGAAGAAGTTAAGGAGAACAGGTTCTTGTGTCCAAGATAAAATTTTCAGTATTGTTTTAGGACTGATATCTGGAAAACATATGTGTTTAACAAGAGTACTGGTGTACATGTACATTAACCTGAAAAATAAGACACAGTTTTAAATATTAACTGCTTAAGGAAAATACCTGTTTGGTGGCTGCTGAATGAGGTTTGTTGACTTGTGACAAATCCACTGATGGCAAAAAATCACTGGTCAAACAAAAAGTTTTTTTTTTCATAAGTATGTTGAACTACATGTACACTAGAATAGACATGGTGAGATACTGCACTATATGTGGAAATACTGTACTTAACATGGTAAACTGCCACTTATAATATGCCCTGGACTTAAACATCTCCATGAGGGGTTTTAAAAATGTAGGAGCACTTATACATAAAGTGCATCAAAACAAAGTTATAGTAGTGCTCAACAAAATTAATGTGTTTTGCATTTACTGGTTTTAATTAACCTTCAAAACTTCGTAATAAATCAATCATTCAAGCTAGAGGAGGGCTTATAGGCTTATAATCAGATTTATTTTTTTTGTTTGCAGGTAGATGGGCCTTTAACTGGGAGGTCAGATACATATTATCTGGATCCAAAAAGCTCCAAAAAATTGAATACATGGTAAATCATGGATTATATAGGGGGTGAGGAGTAGGGGGGGGGGATGATATTACTTCTGCAATTGGCAGATATTTCTTTGATTGTCTTGTTGTAGAAATGTTTGATAACAGATTTAAACTACATTCTGTATTGAGCATGTACATGTATAGCAAAGTGTGCTATATGGAGTGAAGAGAAACACTGTTAAATAACACTACTCACTCCAAGTCATCTGTGTATTCCACCTCTGTTGTGCTAGGTCTGGCAAGGAGCTCCTCCTGATCAAGCTAAGATAACACCAGGTCTGGTGACATTCTTATAGAATTAACCATTTTTGGCATGAATCAACAAGTGATAATTATTTTATAAACTTTTTTTTTGGTTTCACAGAGGAAGTAGGTATAGAAAGAGTAGCTGAAGAGTGTCCAGGATCTTTACGGAAAGACATTCCCAGGAAAGGACTACCACATGAAGGGGATGGGATACTCATCAAAAATGGGAAGTCAAATATTATTAATACCTGAAAGGAGACCAATCTGCTTGCGGCTCAAGCATTTTTGACTTCTAAAAAACACATTGTGTTGCACCATTCTAAAATGCATATCTGAATAACAGTAATTTTCTTAACAATCATCATAGGCTTTTTTTCTTTCTTTTTCTTCTTATTTACACCTGTATACATGGATAAAAACATTGACTTTCCAGCCTAAACACACTTAGTGATGTACCAAAATTTGCAGTTTCAGGACTGTGTGCTATCAGTACCTGGTAGTCCCTGGTGCAAACTTTAAAATCTTTTCTTTTCATTAAAATCAAACAGTACACTGGGAACAAGTGGGGTACATGCATGATAGAGAATGAAAGAATGCCAGTTCAGTGACTAATTTTCAGGATTTGGTTTCAAATGTGGGAAATTTAGGAGCATCACCACTGGTGCCTGTATCAGTATTCATTACAGTGTAATGCCCTAAGGACTGGTAACTGGTGAAGAAATGTAGGTTAATTTACCATGACTTCCTCTGCCTCCTTAATCAAACTTGCAGTTCTTTCCTCCAGCTCTGCATTTAATCGCCTTAGAAACAAAAGACAAGATATCCCTTTAAAACAAAATAATTTTAACATTTATCCAGGTGGAACGCAAACATTATATTACTTATAGAAATGCTAAGGTGACAGCACTGCCTCGCTAGAAAACAAAATTTTCATTGTGAAAGGTTTGAACCCAGGTGTCATTTCATAAGTAGGTTGAGTATAATTGCCCAGGTGAACATAGTCCTGAATAGGACTGTTGCTGTTGACAGTGACTGATGTTTGACAACCTGTGCAGTAGTCATCTTCAGAGTCAAAGTGAGTTCTATCATGTCAGTTGATGGTATTAAACTCTGGTTATTGACCTGATTGGTAAATTAAGTCATGATGTTATTGGTCGTCTGTCAGTTAAGCTGTGAAGTTATTGGCTATTAAGACTCATATTGTCTTTGGTGCATTTCAATCCGTCTATTGTCACAGCTAAACAGTCGTTTATTGTTAGTAAGATTATTGTCAGTGTCCAGTTGTTCTCTCATTGGTAGTTTTGCTTGATTACGTCAATAAGTCGTTTGTACAGTGCCGGTAACTGTTGACTACAATTCACGGGCATTAATTTGTTCTAAGTTAGTAAACCAGGTGTCTAAAGTGAGTCGGTGATAGTACTCTGTAGAATATGTAATACATGTTGCAGAGTCCCAGTCAATTTGATGTTTTGTCTGTAAATGGTGCTTGACGTGTCACTGCGTGAGCTCGTAGCGAAACGACATGTACTGAAACGACCAGTGAAAAAAACTCCTGCACACTGCTAGGGCTGGAATGTCATTGGGAATAATTATACTGAATGAAAACCTGGTTAAATGCATGAGACTGATGCTTACTCCGTCAGAGACACAGCGACACAAAAAGCATCAGAGTTTTTCCTGAAAAGATTCCAACCTCTGAGGTTCTGGTTACGAGTTGTAATCACCCAGACTTGAACTGAAACAACGTATTAAGCTTAACTGCTAGAAGTTAGAATACGGTTGTGCATAACGTTACTGGAATGTCGACGGTGTCTAGTTTTCCCCTTACTTACATGTACTCTTCTTCCTTGCTTAGCAGGCCCTGCGCGATGTTCTTCGTCTTTCCCGACGGTGGCTTCTCCGAAGATGAAACTCCCTGAGCACTGCTAACGGATCGGCGACCGCCATTTGTAGCAGCTGAAGAAGGTCTCTTGGCGACGGAATTAGCCCGCGAAGACTGAGGAAAAGAGTGAAAATTTGACCTGTCATAATGCCAAAACGCACTTGTTTTTACTACTTGACAAATCGTACATAAAGGCAAATTTACATACCATTTTAAGAAGACAAAAATAAAACCACTAAACCTTATGAGAGACCGCCATGACACTTTCCGTTTAGGACTTAGTCTTCCAAAGCGCTGATATTTTTGGCGCGCGGGTTCGCGCGCGGGGCCTTGGTTGCGGGAAGTTTTGGAAGCGTCACGCAAGAGGAGGGTGTTAGTCACGTTCTCCTTTAATAGTCAAACTATGGCTACTGAGCTTGGGGGTTGCTCTCTCGTAAGCTGTCAAGAAGCCTATGCAAAATCTCTTAACAGTTTTATTGCTTCACTTGATTCAAAGGAAGGGAATCTTACCCTCAAATGCCTTGCAGGGCACGTAGTTCCCCTTTTGAGTGACCTTCTCAAAGTTCATACTGCGGAGAAGTTGCCCTTTTGTGTTCTTTATAGCGTAGGAAGTGGAGAAGGTAGTAATGATTTGTCCTTCATTGAAATGCTGATCAAATCCCTTCAAGGGACAGGTATCAGACCGCGGATCTTTCAGCACGCCATTGAACCAGACGAAGCTAAACTGGAGTCCTTTCGCGCGAAAGCAGAAGATTTGCGCGTGCGTTTGAAGAACAGAGTACTTGGTATGTTGATTTTGAATGGTTCCCCATGACATACGACGAGTATATTGAACAAGCCAAAAGCAAAGTTGCCAAATTTAATGTGGTTCATTTTCTACACAGCATATACTACATTGGTCCTGATCTTGAAACAGCGCTAAAGCATTGCTACGAGAAAGAACTTGGGCCGAAAGGGGTAATTTTTTCAATTACTCCAGATTTTAACTCTCCTTATGCGAGATATGGAAAAGCGTTTTCTTCGGAAGGCTTGATTTTGAGTCCTGGATCTTACTACAGCAACAAGGAAGTTATAGATATAGCTAAAAGAAATGGGTGGAAGTACAAGGAATGTTCAGGCGAGTCGGTTTCCTGTAACGTAGCAGGCATTTTCGATCGTTCTTCAGTGGAGGGCAATCTTTTGCTCGACTTCCTAACACAATGGAAGAACATTTCACAGACTGCAGGAGAAGAAAATTTAAAGAAAATTTTAAGCTTCTGGGAAATTGAATGCACTGCTAGTAGCCATGGACAAAAGCTAGTAACGTTTGAAAACAGGACTGTTATGATCTTCAAAGGATCGTAATGTAGAGCTTACCCCATGTAACGGAATCTGGTAAATTTTTGCCTTTGGGATCGAAAATCTTGAAAAATTTTGCTTGTGGAATCCGGAATCCTGGGCTTTGGAATCCAGGAAACAGCTCAAGGAATCCGGAATACCAGTAACGATTGGAACCTACAAAGAATGGAATCCAGTACCTGGAATCCGGAATCCACGACATGGGATCCAGAATCCAAGACTGTCTGGCAGACTGTCTTGGATTAGGCCATGTAGTCAGGATATATTAGATATCAGCCCATTATAGAGGCATGGGGTGTTTATCCTTCACTGGGGATTTAGGGCGTGGTGTCTGATGTTTCAGTAAATTAATTTACATCATTTATCTCTCCTTCTATCATTTTTCTTTTAGTGGTAAGTAAAAAATTGATAGACCACAAATCAAGATAAAATAAATTATTTGTGAAAACATTGTTTCCAGATACAAAACAAATTCTAAGTGTTTTTCTTCAGTAATCTATGAAACAAAGAAAAAGTGTCAGTAGTCAGAGTTTTAATAAACAGAATGTGTTTTGCTTATTTTTTGTATGTGCATCCACAAGTAGTGCTACAACCTCAGACAAAACTGTTGAGTCAGTCCATCTATTTTCTAACTTTTGCAGCATGCTACCATCTCCTCTAAGCAGAAAAAATAAGCCCCCTTCCCATCCCCTAGTCAAAGTTGTTTTGGTCTAAAAACCAAGGTGTATAATTCTAGCATTACCCTAAACATAACGTCTACATCTACATAATTTATTTGCAAAATCCTAAAAAGACATCTGGCGCATAATTATCAACAGCAGCAGCGCACAATTATTTACAGCAGCTTTAAAATTACTTATTGAGGTCGTGTTTATGATATTTGGTGGTAAACTGTTCCAGTCATTAATTGTTCTAGGCCAGAAACTGTATTTATACTCATCACATGATGTTAGTACTGGAATAAACTTCATTGGGTCAGAGTTTCTAGTTTTCATTAATTACAGTTTTATGTTTCACATAAGGTGGTATATTGATTGCTGCTTGGTGATATAGTGTCTTGTACATTAAAGTTAGTCTGTTCACTTTCCTTCTATGCTCCAATGTTGGCCAATTAAGATGGTTTAGTGTCTTTAGTGCTTGGGTAACCCATCCTTCCTGTCCTGAATATGTTTTAGTAGCAAAATGCCCAGCATGTCGCTGTACTTGTTCGAGCCAGGATTTTTGATACATCCTGTAAGGATCCCATACAGTACTTCCATATTCTAGGATAGGTCTCACTAAGGAGGTGTATGCTTGTGCTTTAACTCTTTCTGGACACAAGTGGAGATTCCTTTTAATGCAGCCTAAGATCTTATTTGCTTTATTCTTCACATCCAAGATATGAGGTTTCCAGTTAAGTGTTTCTGAGTTGGTAATGCCCAGATAAGGTTGGTGGTCAACAACTTTTACTGTTTGACCTAGCATGGTGTAATGGTGTATAATAGGGTTAGAACTTGATCCTGTAAATGCAAAGAAAATAACATTTAGAGGGTGGAGGTTCATTTGCCATTCCTCTGCCCAGGTAACAAGGCTGTCTAGGTCTCGTTGAAGATGAAGAGCATCACTTGCATTATGGACAAGGCCATACAGGAGGGTATCATCAGCAAAAAGTTTCAGATTGGATGAGATGTTATTTCCCGTGTCATTAATGTAGAGTTAAAAGCAAAGGGGCCCTAAGACTGTTCCTTGTGGGTTTTCATCTGTAATAGACACTAATAATATTGTACTGTTTATTAAGAATATCTGCCTTTTCTTTTGAGTCAGTGACTTCCTTTCTGTTGGATTTAAGGATGTGGGAATTCCAGAAGAGTCTTTACGTTTGGCTTTGATGTACTGCCAGAAGCGTTCAGTTATCCTGGGTTTGGTGTTCTCACTAATGACATCATCGCTAATGTTTAGAAGATTGTTGATGTAGTTTTGGTGAGCTTATATTTTCACATTTCATCATGTA